AGTATTAGGACACTCATATGGAATTATATAAATTTGATAAAAAATCGTTATAATTTCTGTCAATTTGTTTTAAAATTAATTGTATTAAACTGTAACAGGTACATAGAGTCACATCGGTATTTATGTTGATGGCCACAAATTTCAACGATGTTCTTATACGACTAAAGAAACTCTTGTTTTTTGTTTACATCAAATATGAATAATGACTTAGTTGCCTGCGAAGACTGGAAGCGAAAACATCATACAGAACAAAGTTATTGTACACTTAAAAATTTTTTGTCAAATAATAGAATATCAATATCTTTTAACAATTTTTTAATTTTATTAGTGGACTAACGATTTGTTGGATATTTTCACATACTTCTTATTTATAGTAGTCCGAAAACTAGAGAGTTACAAGTATTTAATAGGGTACATATTTACGAAAGAAGAATGGAAGGAGAAAGTTTGCAACAAATTGCATATAAGATTGGAAAGAGTTGGTAGGAAGATATGCCAAAAATTACAAATGACATGAAAATCTGAAAACTTAGTGAGATCGGGTAGAAAGAAGAAAACAACTGCTCTCGAAGATCGGTTAATCAGTAAAGAATATCTACCAATATCGATCACGCAAATCAAATCTCGCATTCATGAAAGCGATATTTATGGACGGATATCTAAGAAAATACCATAAATTTCAGAAGTGAATGCACTAAAATGTTTAAATTTTGTTAAAGAACATTACAATAAGCCGATTTCATTTTGGAAATCAATAATTTGTATATATGTATATTTGAAAAATATATGTATATGTATACAAATATTTGTATATATATTTGAAAAAATATGTATGGAGATAAAAAGGCGACGCTTTCAAATAGACACTAGTGACATCCTCTGTCAAACACGGTGGTGGAAATATAATGACATGGTGTTGTTTTAATGACAACAAGTAGGCAATTTAATTATTATTGATGGAAGACTGATACTGCTGGTAAATATATTGAATTATTAAATGAAAATTTTTTTTTTTATTTCAGTCAATTGAAAAATTTTGAGTCCATAGGTGTTTCAACATGATAACGACAGCAAAAATACACAGCAAAAATAGTTAACAAATTTTTCGAAGAAAATGGTATTTCTGTACTTTCTTGGCTACTCCAGAGTCCAAACTTAATCTCTATAGAGCATCTATGGGATGAATTAGAGCTATGAACTCCATGGAATCAAAGATATAGAAAATCGGACTTCATTACAGCCATACAAAGCAAATGGTATGAA